CCTGTGATACCAGTTCGGCGGTACAACTACTACAATAGGAACGATACAGAGAAGATCAGCATGTCCCCTGTGATACCAGTTCAGCGGTACAACTACTACAATAGGAACGTGATACCAGTTCGTCGGTACAACTACTACAATTGGAACGATACAGAGAAGATTAGCATGGCCCCTGTGATACCAGTTCGGTGGTACATGTAATACCATAGGAACGATACAGAGAAGATCAGCATGGCCCCTGTGATACCAGTTCGGCGGTACAACTGCTATAAGAGGTGAGGCCTCTTTAGTCCTTCAGATGGTGCATTGTGGAAAGGTCTTTACGTCATCCTGGAAAAGGAGGTCTCTTGTATGGCTGCCAGCTTTGAGCCTGGAAATACAGGTTGCTGCCTGTCGGTTCATCTCACATTCCAGAATAGCTCGAGGCTTTTGGTTCAGATACCAATAATGGAATGTTGACTCCTGTCTTTTTGCCTGGATGTCTTTTTTTTTTTTGTATGCACTTGAAAGAGTCGAAATCATAGCCTGAGTTAGGTATTGCTGCTTATTTCGCAAGAAGAAAGACGAATAACCCCAATTGTGTATCGCCTCACATCTCGCCATCACTCCTGGACATGGATCCTTACAATGTCTCTTCCAGGCTCCATCAGGTCATCAGTTCTGTGGGAGCTCAACTGTCAACCAATAAACGAGAGAAGTTTCAAACACACCCCATCATCTCATAGAACTGAACGTACGGCTTGAAGAGCGTCTTATTTTCGGTCTTGAAGTTACATAACGATAGAAAGATGGTGTAACGTAAGCTTGTATAGATCATCCCTTAGTATAGAATGATCTAGTGTAAAAACCTGTCTTAAATAGACCCTGTGTAAATAGAAGCCTGTTATAAGTGGACCATGTCTTAAATCTGTGTCAAGTGACCCACTGTAGATCATTTTCTTCGATCCATCAAGTGTTTACCCAAGAGTGAGAGAGAGATCAACTAGGTCTGGTATAGAAGCAACATCTGCCTCATATTCTGCCTCTGCGCGGGGTCGAAACACTTCCCTGTTAAATTCGTGTAGAAAAATAAATGCTTAGAGAAGGCTGATATGATATAGAAATAATTATTATAAGATAAATAAAGCTTCCAGGGATAAGTTTCTTGTGCAACTTTTTATTTTCAACTTTTATTTTTAAATTGATTTATTATCGTGATACTCCTGTTGAAGGACTGACAAGTCCAAAAGCTTGAAATAAAAGTTGTACAAGAAACTTAACTCTGGAAGCTTTATTTATTTTATAATATTATAAATCAGGGAAAAACTTTTTTTTATCAAAAGTTAAATGATAGAAATAATTATGTCTAAAACTAACTTAATTGGGATTTGTTTACTGTAGAGCGTATCTCGATGGAATCATTGGTTATTGAATCTACCAATTCTCAGTTTATGCTCATAGGTTTTTCAAATACCTTTATCATAAAGTCCCTAGAATAGGGCCACTGTCCATAAGTCTATATAGGCTCTATGTATCTGTTATGGCGGTCTGGTGGATTGAATTGGTTAAACCGCAGTGATGAGCCAAGCTCTCCAGACAAAATATCTTACATAGTAAGGCCTATAGAAGTATTGTTTTCAATTTAAAAAGAAGTATTAGCGTTCAGAATTAGGGCCTATTTAAAAATTTTAACGCAAAAAACAATATTTACATTTATGGACAAAACTTAAAAGGAAGTGGAAAGTGCTTGATGTCGCCTGTTATCTTTTTTTTTTTTTTTTTTTAAGAAGACAGAAGCAATTTTGTCACACTTGGTTATTCGTGTGTCTTCAATGAAGGTCACTATAATATCTTTCAGAGTTATTTTCTCAATCCCGAAATACATGCTAAAAGGTACAACTTCCCTAGGTTTTGTCTATGAGTGTATATATGCACTGCCAGACACAGAAGAAGAGAAGATGTCGTTATAGTTGGAGGATCTTGATATAGTCGTCTGCCACCATTTATATCATCGCAGAAACGGCTGAACGTTCTTTCCTATCGTTGAACTACAGCCGCTTCTTGTAACTTCCCAGCAGTCAGCCGTTTAAAGCACCGTTCAATCATATTGGTCTATAAACCTACCAAGCAATTCAACCTTACTTCGCCTTCATACCAGCCAGACTTCCACACACTCGATAGCAGGTCAGTGGGGATCGCCTTTTCCTCGGACATTCTGAAACATTTGACCAAACACCATCTTACTGCTCACCAGTTGAAAAATAAAAGTTAGTTTTCGACTTCTCTCCTAAGAAATACATCAATATATATTCAAAAAATTATAATATCTTTCACTATATTATTTTTGGCGAAAAAATCATTCTGGGATAACTTTCTTAAATATGATTTTTATTTATCTCTTGCTTTAGGGATTTAACGCCCTTCTACAGAAGCATTCTCAACTCTAACATCGCCTTTCTTCAGAGATTAAAAAATATATATATAGGAAACTCTCTCTCTCTCTCTCTAGTGCGGACTGTGCACTTTACATGTATTGACAAGCTGTCAATAAAAATATGTCAATTGTCAATTGTCTCTCTCTCTCTCTCTTATCACTGGATGATTTTTTTTGCCAAAATAAATTCATAGGTTGTCAAAGGCAACGTAGCTCTGATGATCTGTTCGTTACTGCTATCTATGTTACCTTCAGTAAAAATCTACAGAGAACAAAATATGTTTTCCTTGGGAGGTGTTCAATTATAAGGTAATTGGGGTCAGGTTTGACAGCTTGAAACAGGGCGTGGGGGGGGTGAGGGGACAATAAGGAAGTAAGCCAGCTGGGACAACGGACCTCCCCTCAGTGGCCACACAATGAGACTCTCTGGCATACTGCGGAGAATAACTTGCCGACGCTGAACATACGGTCGCAGTTTTTATAAACAAATGTTTATTTTCGCAAGAACATCCTCACCAGGTCAACAAAATTAATCTAGATTACATAGCGATAGTTGGAAATGGAATTCACATATTTGCATATTTACACAATTGCATATGTTCCTTTTACGGTGGCTTCCCGCAGTTTAGGCGGTTAGAGGATGAAATCTATATGGCAGGTATATTACAGTAATAGTTATTTGTTCTTTAGGCCTTCTGCCTTCCAAGGTGAGAGTTCAAAGTCCGGACCAGTAGCACAGTTATTTATGCTACATTTCCCAAATATCGATGTCTACAGTGTATAAAATGTAGCGTGTCCTCTACAAAGAATGTCCATGCCTCGCTTCTGCATCAGTTTCCTCTCCTCGGACTTTCTTCCTTGTAAATCACAAAATATTTCAGGCATATATATTAATTAAGAAAAAGGCATCTCCTTATCGTGCAACTGAAAGTTGCTGATGGCTGGCGCCATCTATCGGAATAAATATCAACTATTCTCGTTGATTTTTAATTATTCCAGAATTGGCCAAATACCCATTCTTGATTAATCAAGAAAAGCTAACCACGGACGCGTTTCGGGCTGTTGGCCCTCATCAGCGTGGTGCAAGCTGTACCTCAACGACCAAAAAAATTGGTCTTTAAGGCATCCTGAAAAATCATGAAACGGGTAGTTAAGGCCAGAATTGCGTGAGGACGCTACACAATGTGAAAAAATAGTACAAATGTGATATTGTACTGGGATAAGGTGCATAAATTAAGAAAAAGGCATCTCCTTATCGTGCAACTGAATGCAACATCGTGGTTAGCTTTTCTTGATTAATCAAGAATGGGTATTTGGCCAATTCTGGAATAATTAAAAATCAACGAGAATAGTTGATATTTATTCCGATAGATGGCGCCAGGCATCAGCAACTTTCAGTTGCACGATAAGGAGATGCCTTTTTCTTAATTTATGCACCTTATCCCAGTACAATATCACATTTGTACTATTTTTTCATATATATTAATGTCTTTGAAAAATCGATAAATTCGGCCATTTTGTGCCTTTATTGTCTATTTAACAAAATTGCTCCACAAATGCAACTTATAAAACTTATCATCTGGGTGTCACATGACTAGAAGGAATACACTCACCGACAAAAACTTAAGGAAGGCTCATATTTTAATATCGCCGGTCACATCTGTTTTTTATTTATTCATTTTTTAAGGAAACAGAGTCAATTTTGTTCACACTTGGTTATTTCGTGTCTCTTCACAACACACACAATAAAAGTCACTGTAATATATTTTCGAATTATTGTCTGAATCCCGATATACATATTAAAAGGTACAACTTTCTTAAGTTTTGTCCATGATTGTACTTATTTTTATTAATATTACAAGTGGAGTAAAATACAGAGGTTGGGTGGATACAGACGAAAGAGAATCCTAGGAAAATTCTAAAGAATGGCGAGGACACTCGAGGGAATTCTTGAGTCTTGAAATTTAAGACACAGTATCATATTCCTCGGCCTTAAGCCACGACAATACAGATCCTGGTTCAATTCTTCAGCACTCCTGCTGGTTCTAGAGGTTTCCTGAAATATCAGAATTTCCCTTTTGTACAATGTTTTTCATATTGCTTTGCGTTCTCGCCAACTTTTGGCCTTAAATATCCATTCCTTTATTTTCTAGGAAACCTCTAAGACTAACATTTTTGGTCGTGAAGGTACACACATGCACCTCATGCCGAGTGACAACAGCTACGTACGTGGTTGCTTTTATAGATTCATGGAGAAAGGAGGTATTTGGCCAATATTATGGAATAATAAAACATAACCATTATATAACTGATATTTATTACGATAGATGGTGCAAGTCATCAATTACACTATCTGGAGATACATTTCACTTATTTTTATCATTTAATCTCAGTACAATTTCATTTTTATACTATTACTTACTCCTCTATCTTATTTATATTCGATTATATAAATAACTAGACGGGTGACCCGGGCTTCGCCCCGGGATTGACCCGTGTGCATATCTACCCGAGTGATATATATTTAGATAAGATTTTTTTAAATAATTGTTTATTAGCATTATCTATTTGTTTTCATCAGCATAATTTAATCTAATCTTTGATAGAGGGCGCTGTTCGTGAGCTAAGTAGAATAATTTTAATATATATTTTTAATAATTGATTTATATATTTTTTAAAATAGCCTATCGTCTTCCCCGTATTTTTTTTTTTACCTATGTATGGAAATTTTGGTTTAAATTAGTGAAATACTGCGAATTTGTATACCGGACATACAAACAAACAAACATACAAACATTGATTTTTATATATATATATATATATATATATATATATATATATGTAATTCTGCTGTCCTAAATGTGTCCATAGTTTGCTTAAATACTATTTTAATATTTCACCCGCATTGCAGTGTATATAAGTAGAATCGTCCAATACAGTATTAGAGCTCTAAGAAGCGGTCTGGTGGATTAAATTGGCGAAACCGCTGGGAGGGTTCACCACTGACGAGCCAAGCTCTCCCCAATATTTTCATCGCAGTAAGGACAGTAGAAGTTTGTTTTGTTCTTTACAATGCTTCCATTTCTTAAACGTGTTATCTGTTTGATTTTTTTGATGGTATTTTCTGGAGATGAGTAAAGCTCATGGATGAATGAACCGAGACTGTCAATAATGTGGTTAGATGTTAGAAGTTAGATATAGTGGGAAAACCTTGCAACCGTTGTGGAAGTATTTGAGTATGCTAATCATGAACTGCTGTCTTCTTGAGACTTGATGCTTGTTCTTACTTTCTTTGCTTTGCACCAATCGTGGGTTGCTGCTGATACCAAATCCTATTGACATTAGGCTTTGATATATTTATAAATTATCTGTGATGAAAGTCTAACAGATTATTAAGAATAATTTGGCCAATTCTGGAATAATTAAAAATCAACGAAAATAGTTGATATTTATTCCGATAGATGGCGCAAGCCATCAGCAACTTTCAGTTGCACGATAAGGAGATGCCTTTTTCATAGATTATTAAGAGTTAGAGAAAAAGCGTTAATATATTTAAAATTCAAAAACAAAATTTCCATTTATATTTTGACCATAGATTTGGCCTAGCTATTTTGGCAGCTAAACGCCTCTTTAGCAGATTGTGAAGATCCCATTTGATCCCTTGTGGATCTCTTGGAGTAAAGCCCTCCCTGGACTGAAGAAGGTGATGGTCTACAGGTTGGCGTTTCTCAGTTTGCCAAAGCTGGTGTTGTGGCTTTGTCGCCGACTCGAGAGCACTAGTTTGCGGTGACGGTCAATAGATGGCGTCTAGTTTTGACGTTCATTATTTTGACGAGAGAGGTGGCTTTTATTTTTCAGGTAATTGACTTGTTGGGTGAAATGGAGTATCTTAATTGAGGGGAGGGGTAGCCCTGGTAGAGGAATTCGGCTGTTTTTTTTTTTTTTTTGCTTATCCCTAGTACACGTGGTACAGGCCATGATAATTATGGTCGGTAGAAGTTGGTGACTGCTTTTACTGTAAGTGCACCACATGTCTACACATGTGAAAATAAGTTCGACTTTGCACTTATAAATGTGCGAGAGCCCCATTTGGTTACTTGCACTCGCTGTTGGGGTTGGACTTTTGCAAGAATCGGGGGCCATTGGAGCATTTTTTTATCATAAAAAAGGGCCCAATTCGGGAATAGAACCTGGGTCGTAGCGGTCGAAAACCAACGGTTTAGACCATCCTTCCATCAACCCCCTGTTCAGCTGTTTCAACTTGGTTAGCTTTGAGCTTGAACTTTGCAGCTCAAATTAAGGACTGAACAGATTTCCAATTCTTCCTTTTATCTTTCAAGAAGTAATTTGATGGGTGTTTTCTGAAAACACTGTCTAGTGATGCTCTATGACAACATTTTGGAGCTTGTAAGGGATAATAATTCTTTTAGCTGGACCCTTATTTTGTTAGTGTAAATTCCATCTACGGTGCACAGTTGAATATTCAATTTGGCATTAGGAAGCTGTAGGGGATTTTTCTAATGAAGTAACATAGGGAAGCACATATCGAGTATAGGGACTAGATTTGTCAAATGTTGGCAAGATTGGGAGTACTCCTCAATAGCAAGACACTTTGAATTACCATTTGTAAACTCTCATGAATGGGGGTAAATTCATCTATCCTCTTAAAAATACTAAATTATGATATAAGTCAAGTGTAAATAAAAATATTGTGCAACCTTACATGTTGCTTTCAATTATAAGGAAATCGAAATATATTTTGAGCATATTAGTAATGTGGTTTGGGCATATTATATTTTGAAGGGGATATGTTAAAAAAAAAAAAAAGACATGACTAAATTGCAAGCCAAAGAAATAACGTGTCACAGAGTACACCTATCAAGTCCTACAATTTTCTAATAAAAACAATTTGACTTTGATTCTATTTATTTTTATTATTATCTCTTCCCTTAAGTTTCTGAGATGATAAACTTTGTTTAACGATGTTATTAGATTATTTTCATGTTGCCGACAGTCAAATTTAATTTTTTATTGACTGTCTTCATTTTCCTTAGTATTAACGATTGTATATTATGTTCGCCAGGCGACCGGGCTATCCCGTACCTAAGATGTGTTTATTATTGCAAAGTAAATAACTGTACGTCAAATGAAAATGAATACGTTAACCAGCCTTTGCATTTACAAATATTACAATGGGATTGTCAAGACGAATGTAGTTACCAATGTATGTGGCAATCCTTAGATAAAATACACCAATCTGTTCACTTCATACCGCAATTTCACGGAAAAGTAAGTTTTTATGTCATTTTTGCTTTCATTTTGTTAATAAGTACATTTGAATTGATAGTATTTAAATTAAAACTATAAAAGAAACACATGAACAAAATTAAATAACCTTTGTATGAAATTTCAGCAGCAGTATCAATTTTGTCAAACATTACAATTCATCTATTGAAATATGAATAGTTATTAGGTTTGACACTTTTGAATATAGTTCTGATACCTTTTTTTTTTTCTTCTAAAAATAAACCTCAAAATTATAAATACAGTAGAACCTCCATGAGAGGACACTCATGCTAAAGGACATCTTTCTACATAGGACAATTTTCATTTACAAAATTACAATTTTGCAACTCTCCGGTAAGAGAATACCCTAAAGGACACTTTGTTTCTGTAATTGAGTGTTGTCCTGGGTGAGTCCGTGACATTTGGCCCAATCTGAGACTAAGCCTCTCATTGCTTTCAAGGTATTAACATTGTGTGTATTCATAACACATGTTTACAATTACGTTAAATTATTTTCAAAAAATTTTCTAATATAAGATAGAAGGCCATTTAGACAAAAGATATATATAACAATATAAAGTAATCACAGGTATTTGAAATAATTAAATTTTGTTTTAAAAATATTTGACGCGTAGAAAGAACCAATCATAGCCTTTGTTTACATTGCGTGTCACAGTGACGTCACGACCAATGATAGGCTAGTCTCAGATTGGGCCAAATGTCGCTGACTCACCCGTTATCTTTTACAGGGAGGTTCTACTGTATGCTCACTTTATTAAACAAATAGATTGTTATTATGAATCTTTTTTTTTTTAACACTTCGAGGATGCAGGACGTCAATTAACGTCCTCGCGAAAATGGCACAGTGCCCGCAGGACGTATATTAACGTCCTACTTTCTTAAAAATCGGTATAAAATCATAGCGCGCGCTACGTCCCGTGGCCACTTGCCTCCTGCAAGTTTAAACATGCCTCAAGGTCGTTCACCACTTTGCCACGTGATAGGGTGGATGGCTGACCAATTAAATTGAGTTTTGAGTGCGCGCTTCCTCGAGTTTCCTCCCCTCCCAACCTCTACTGACCTATTTTTAATCTGCCGTCATTTGCCAATTGTACTTTGCGCGCTTCTTCTTGTCACGTTTTTTTTTTGCTTAATATTTTTATTTGAAGTTTCTAATATTTTCAATAGACATTTTTGGATAAAAATGAATCCTGATCAGCCCAGTACATCCAAAGTTATCTCCTCTTGCCCATCTCCAGAGTGGGAGATGTATGACCCCCATCTTTTTGATTCTGGATCAGAATTAGATGATTCTTTTGAGGATCCTGATTTCACACTCCATGCTAACTCTGATGAAGATATTGATTCGGATTCAACAGAAATATATTTGGAGGGACCAAGAGATGAAGAGGCTCCTGCAACAACAAGGACTCCTCTGGTAAGTGATGACTGGATTGAAACTACTACATCCACGATACCCAGACCTCTGTTTACTGCCCAACCTGGACCAAGGGCCGAGTTATTTCCAGAACCTAACTCTCCTTACCAGATATTCAAAAAATTTATTGATGAGGATTTTTTTGGTAATCTGAAACTTGAGACTAACCGCTATGCTAGGGCAACCATAGACAGAGAAAGAAAAAAGGGTCCTTTGAATCCTAGGAGTCATTTAGAAATGTGGAAAGCTGTTTCTGTGTCTGAGCTCAAGATATTTATGGCTATAATAATTCACATGAGCGTTGTTGTAAAGACCAGATTGAAAGATTATTGGTCAACCCGCAGTGAACTTAGGACAACTTACTGCAGAGATGTGGGGATGATCAGATCACGGTTTGAAGCCATTCTCTCCATGCTTCACCTAAATGACAACGCTTCCTATGTGGCTTTTGGTCAACCAGGCCATGATCCTCTCCATAAAATTAGGACATTCCTTGATCCTCTGGTCCACAAATTCAAAACATATTACTATCCCTGCCAACCTTTGACTATTGACGAAGCTATATGTCCTTTTAGAGGAAGAATACGGTTCAGAATATATATCAAAGGAAAGCCACACAAATATGGGATAAAGATATTTGAACTTTGTGAATCAAGTTCAGGATATGCCTGCAACATAGAAGTGTACACAGGGAAGCAGCCTGGTCAAGGTGCAGACTACAATTCGACCTTAAAACTGGTGGAAAGGATAGCGGCTCCATACTTCAATAGAGGACATGTTATATACTTTGACAGATGGTTCTCCTCTACCACACTTTTTCAATTTCTCTGGAGAAACAATACCCAAGCTGTGGGAACAATAAAAAAAAATAGAAGAGGCTTGCCAAAAAATGCATTTTCCAAAAAATTGAAAAAAGGAGAGGTAATTTACAGAATGAAAGGTCCTCTTTTGGCATTCAAATGGCATGATACTAGGGACGTTTTCATGGTCTCCACAGCACATGATCATGCCATGATACCTGTAACCAAGAAAGCCAGGAAATCTGACCAACCTCTCACCATGAAACCAGCTGCAGTATTGGACTACAACAAGCACAAGGCTGGTGTTGACAGAAGTGACCAGCTCCTCTCTTACTACTCTTTTCAGCGGAGAACTATGAAATGGTGGAAAAAGCTTTTCTTTCACATCTTTGGCCTGACAATAGTCAATTCTCATATAATTTATAATAAATTAAATCCAACATCCAAACTGTCACTCCGAGACTACCATCTTGTCATTATGGAAAAACTGGTTGAAGAAGCCGGAGTTGAGATCACAGATCAACAACTTGGTAGTTCAAGCTCAAAAGCCAGACTTTTGGAGAGACACTTCATTACAAGAATAAAAGAAGAAAACAAGCCAAATGTAAATATCCAACGAAAATGCAAAGTCTGTGCTGAAAAAGGAAAAAGTGCCACTGGAAAAAGAATAAGGAAGGACACTGCTTATATGTGCAAGACCTGCCTTGTTCCTCTGTGTATAAATGATTGTTTTGAGGCTTTTCACACCAAGGAGAAGTATTGGCTCTAATTGGCTCTTAGAAATGGCCTTTATAAATAGTTCTTACTAAATTTCAGCATGTTTTTTGTATATATAACATTTGTCTATGTGTTGGAGTGAATTTAGTTTTTGTTTTTTTTTTATATAATTTTTATTTTTTTATTATTTTTATTTCTTTATCAAAATTCATTTTATATAGCATTAAAAATAATTTTAAACCCTATATATATTGGCTTATAAATTTGGCATATATTACTAAAATAAATATATTAAATTTTATTTTTCATAAAAGTGTCGTTTTTACTGCGTCCTGGTGGACCATGAGGTCTGCTTAGGCTGCGTCCTCGAAGTGTTAAATGCCAATTTGTAACACACAATTATCAAATGGAACTAGGAATTATTGGGACTGGATATGATTTTGGATTTTGTAGGACATCTTAACAAAAGTTGACTGTAGTAATGTTGATTGCAATATTAAATGGTTGGCACACATGTACAGACACATTTCAGAGTTGGCAGAAACTTCTGTCATAGGATAGAATGACAGAACAAGTCTGTGTGATTTGTAAAAAGTTTTGAAGAGTAAACACCAGGAACTTTGTTACTTCATCTTTGACATTTATATTGATTTACATAAAATTTTTTACCCCTTTGTATATTTCCCACTTTCATAGGTTTCTCCATCTTGTAACCCCAAGGAGAATCCTCTGTAAGACCAGTGTGTTTTAATAAAGGTTTTTGTGTGTGAAAAAAAAACATAAAAACCCAATGTAATAAGACCTAACCCAAACGAATAATTTTTTTTTTATGTGACATTTCGGTAACAGCATTGTTAACCACATATTTAAACACATGTAAAAGCTGTTCAACATTTTCACATATTAGTGTGATTCAGTCTTGTTTATACTCACTGGAGGATTGGACTTGTGAAAGCATTGAATATACATTACAGCAGAACTCTGTAAAGGAGAACACCTATAAAAGAAAATAAGACATAATCCAAATAATTTATTAGTGTGTGACGTTTCGGCAACAACATTGTCACCATCATCAGACAAAAGAATAAAAAAATCTGTTTTGTCTGATGATGGTGACAATGTTGTTGCCGAAACGTCACACACTAATAAATTATTTGGATTAGGTTTTATTTTCTTTTATTATAATCTATAATCCAAATTGTGCTTTATCAGGACAACACCTAGTTACAGAGCCAAAGTGTCCTTTAGGGAGAGGTGTTCTCTTACCAGAGAACTGCTAATTAGTAAAAATGGTCATTTCATTGATGAAAACTGTCCTTTATAGAGAGGTGTCTTCTAGTGAGAGTGTCCTCTCATTACTGTATTTATAAAAAACACTTCCCATGAATCCCTTAAACATATCAAAACATAAATCTTAAAAATGTTAAACTTTTAAAATCAGACTTAACTAGGTTCCCCAACACAATGATAAACTAATGGAGTTATGAAACACAAGGTAATAAGTCTACAAGGTAATAAGATCAAATTCAAATAAAGGAACTAGTGTGTGATGTTTTGGTAACAGCATTGTTACAATCTTCAGACAAAAGTATTGAATGAGAAATTATTCCACAGCATGTTTTTTTGATAACAGTAACTATTTAAAACATGCTGTGGTATAAATTCTCATTCTGAAGATGGTAACAATGCTGTTACCGCAACATCACACACTATTTATTTATTTGTATTTGGACTTATTACCTTGTGTTTATAATCTATAATCCAAATTGTGCCTTATCATGGACTGAAACACAAGGTGATAAGATCAAATTCAACTAAAGTAACTAGTGTGATGGTATCAATATTCTAAAGAGAAAAGGGTCTCCTCTCCCGTCAAAATAGACGTCTAAAACCAGACGCCATCTATTGACCGTCGCCGCAACTAGCGGCTTCGGGTCGGTGACAAAGCCACAACACCAGCTTTGGCAAACTGAAAATATTGTTACTGTAATGTCAAACACTATTAATTTATTTGGTGTTATTAACATGTGTTTGTGATCTATAATCCAAATTGTGCCATATCAAGATGTAGAACTGGCTTCAAGCCTGACAATGCTATAACATAGAAACTTCTGGATTTCATAATCCACAACGGACTGTCTGAACTCAAGACGGCTTTAAGCTCCTGATGAAATCCAGACGTCCCTCCGTCTGTTGTATATATTTCTCCCTATTTTAAAAATGGCTGTAAACCTTCTCCATACTGTTGACTGGATGAATATAAACTGTTGTCAATTGTCATAGAAACTTGTGTCCAGTGGCCCTTCATCCGTTTCCTGGGGATCCAGGAGCCAGCGTCGGCTCTCTTCTCCATCCTGAATGCAGTTGGCAACATTGTGATGTGGCTCAAGTTCCGCTCGGCTGTCCCCACTTCCTCTCCCTACTACAACCTCTGGAAGCTCCACACCATTGTGAGATCTTGTTGTGTTGGTCTTTGACTGGCCATATTTAGTCTTAATCTCTTGCATATGTATATATAGAACAAATGATAAGAAACATTGGGTATCAAGACCAAATGTTTGTGACATTTTGGTGTTCAGTACTTATGTCTGATAATGGTAACAATTAAAGGGAAAGACTCTTCTAGTAAGTTATATCAATTAAGGAGGATCAGAAGATGAGTTTCTTTTATTGATTGAATGCTACGAGCTTTCGGGCAAAAGCCCTTCGACAGGCAAAAATATAACTATACAAAGAAAGATAAATAACGATTTATATATATGTTAATCTTAACTGAAAACAGATTTTGAATAAAGTAAATATTAAATCTGCTGTCTGAGACCACGAGACGGCGCATGGTTTGGGCTATTGAAATAAACATGTGGGAGGTTTAAATGTAGTTTGTGTAGGCTGCGGGGATGTCTATTTTTCTATTTATGCTGTGTAGCTTGGATGAAACTATGGATTCTAGAACCAATCTCTGGTGTAGGTTGGAGATATTTTTGTAGTGAATGGTTGGGTTAGCAGTGTCAAAGGAATGGCCAGAAGATGCAATGTGTTGGAAAATAAGGGAACGGGTATCTCGGTTGGTGATGTTGCGTGTGTGTTCGGTCATTCTGATGGCGATGGTTCTACCAGTCTCCCCCACATAGGTGGCAGGACACTGTTGGCACGAGACCGAGTAGACTGCTCCAGAAGATGTTAGAGGATCAGTGGAGGAGTCGGTTTTTGTGATGGGATGCCTAAGGAGTGAGTGGAGGTTAGGTGTGTTAGTAAAAAAGGTACGGATGCCAAAGGGTTTGAGGAAACGGGAGAGGTTAACTGAGAGGGGAGAGAATGGGATCACACATGTGGATTTGTATGTTGCAGGAGGGTTGAGAGGAATAGGTGAATAGGTGTGTTTTTCTATGAAGGATAGAGGGAAACCTGAAATTGTAAGATGGGAGATGATGCGGTTCTTTTCAATAGTTTTGAAGATGGGGAGTGAGCAGTGGGTTAATAGGCGGCGGGTGAGGGCTTTAACTATATTGATTTTGTGGGAGGTTGGACAGTGCGACCTATAATGGGTGTATCTGGGGGGGTGGTTTTTCTTGTAGTAGACTGTGGTATGGTAGGTGTTTGGGGTGCGTATGACTAGGACGTCCAGGAAAGGAATAACAAGCTCATGTTCTCTCTCAAGAGTGAATGTGATGTTGGGATTGTAAGTGTGGAGGTCGGTGAAAATGGTATTCTCGCTGTACCAATCGCGAGAATACCATTTTCACCGACCTCCACACTTACAATCCCAACATCACATTCACTCTTGAGAGAGAACATGAGCTTGTTATTCCTTTCCTGGACGTCCTAGTCATACGCACCCCAAACACCTACCATACCACAGTCTACTACAAGAAAAACCACCCCCCCAGATACACCCATTATAGGTCGCACTGTCCAACCTCCCACAAAATCAATATAGTTAAAGCCCTCACCCGCCGCCTATTAACCCACTGCTCACTCCCCATCTTCAAAACTATTGAAAAGAACCGCATCATCTCCCATCTTACAATTTCAGGTTTCCCTCTATCCTTCATAGAAAAACACACCTATTCACCTATTCCTCTCAACCCTCCTGCAACATACAAATCCACATGTGTGATCCCATTCTCTCCCCTCTCAGTTAACCTCTCCCGTTTCCTCAAACCCTTTGGCATCCGTACCTTTTTTACTAACACACCTAACCTCCACTCACTCCTTAGGCATCCCATCACAAAAACCGACTCCTCCACTGATCCTCTAACATCTTCTGGAGCAGTCTACTCGGTCTCGTGCCAACAGTGTCCTGCCACCTATGTGGGGGAGACTGGTAGAACCATCGCCATCAGAATGACCGAACACACACGCAACATCACCAACCGAGATACCCGTTCCCTTATTTTCCAACACATTGCATCTTCTGGCCATTCCTTTGACACTGCTAACCCAACCATTCACTACAAAAATATCTCCAACCTACACCAGAGATTGGTTCTAGAATCCATAGTTTCATCCAAGCTACACAGCATAAATAGAAAAATAGACATCCCCGCAGCCTACACAAACTACATTTAAACCTCCCACATGTTTATTTCAATAGCCCAAACCATGCGCCGTCTCGTGGTCTCAGACAGCAGATTTAATATTTACTTTATTCAAAATCTGTTTTCAGTTAAGATTAACATATATATAAATCGTTATTTATCTTTCTTTGTATAGTTATATTTTTGCCTGTCGAAGGGCTTTTGCCCGAAAGCTCGTAGCATTCAATCAATAAAAGAAACTCATCTTCTGATCCTCCTTAATTGATATAATGGTAACAATACTGTTACCTAAACGTCATTTACATTTTGCTAATTTGGATTTGGTCTTGTTACCTTGCGTTTTTAATTTATAATCTAAATTGAACCTCATCAAAAAAGGATAAGGTTCTATTTATATTATAGATGAAAATTACAAGGTAAAATAAGACCAAATCTAAATAAATAAATAGTGTGTGATGTTTCAGTAACAGCGTTGTTACTGAAACGACACACACTATTTATTTATTTGGTCATTTTACCTTGTAGTTCTAATCTATAATCCAAATTGTCCCTTATCAAGGTAACAAGATCAAATACAAATGAGTGATTCATGTACAGACATACAGGTTACATATATGAAGGATAAGGTGCTTGTACGTCAATGTCAAAACTGTTTTAGTTATGGTCATAGTAAAAATTCATGTAACATCTTAAAATGTAAAAATTGCGGAGACAATGACCAACATGTTAACTCTCAATCCTTGCCCAAGTGCATAAATTGCTCTACACATCCTAAATATAGGAATAGCAATAATCATCGTTCTAATGACAAATTATGTCCTGTGTTCCTTCAACAAATGAAATATGAGATACAAAGAACATGTTATGCAGATTTAGATCATGATATTGTTACTTTGGATTAGAATAGACTTATTCTTGTTTTTGTTTTTTTGGTCAATGTTCAAATTAAAAATTCTACAACAAAACACGCGGAAAAGCAATTTGGTTAATAATGAAATAAGGGAATTTATTTCTAAAGAAAAATATGATATGATTATAGTTCAAGAACCATATAGTATAAATAATGAAGTAATCTTTAATATGCGTTCAAAAATATATTATGCAAATATACCGGGAGTTCCAATATATACCGCAACAATCGTTACCAAACCCTTTCTTATCATGTAAATTAATTAAAGAGTTTTCAAATTCATTTGCAACCACTATATCAGTACAAACTACTAAACGGCAAATTATTCTTTCAAATATTTATATACACCCTAATAAAATGGATACCTGTCATGTTCAATTCCTTGATAAATTAATTAAAAATTTTAACACAAATCCATTGATTTTAGCTGGAGATTTTAACGCTCGAAGTCAGATGTGGTTTGATAATATTATTAATCAAAACGGTAGAAGACTTCAACCTATAATTGATTTTCACAATATGCTCATACATAACAATCGAAACAAAACATGTCGAGGATTAAGTATAATAGATCTTACTATTACTAATAGTCATGCTCATGTACTTGTTAATGGATGGAAAACGTTAAATCTTTCGCAAATCACAGACCATCAGGCAATCTCATTCGACATTGGTCTGGAAACAGAAAGTTTATTACATGAAAATAATTCTACATGGTATTTTCAAGAAAAAAGAGCCAATTGGCAAAAATATGAGCAGGCAATCAACGTGTCTAGGATAAATGAGGCAATGATGAAATTAGGTAAAATAGTAAATATTAACGATATAAACTGTGTAGTTTCTCTCATAACTGACATATTAATTGAAGCTGCATATGCATCTCTACGATTAAAACCAAAATATTAAAATAATAATCCATTTAATTGGTGGACGGATGAACTGGAACTTTTTAAAAATCATTTTAAATATGTTCGAAATCTATATTATCGGGGTAAACGGTCTAATAGACAGCTAGTTGATGAAAAAATGTATAAAGAAATACAAAATAAGTATATGAATATTATTGAAAAAACAAGAAATGTAAGCTGGAGGGTATTCCTGGAGGAAGTTGAAAATACATCTCCTTTTGGTAATACTTACAAAACTTTTAAACAAAAAATTTCTCCTAGGTCTTTTGATTTACCAATTCTAGATGTATCTCAAGATGTGCTCGAATCAGAAATGAAAAATCTTTTATCTTCTCTATATCCGAATGACTGTCAATCTTCTGACACAAACTATCATAAATTAATCAGAGACAAGAGTTATACTTTTTCTAATGATAAAATCATTTATTTTGATAATACTCAAATCTGTTCAATAATTAAAAAACTTTAAAATGGCAAGGCTCCAGGAATAGATCATATAAGCAATCAGATGATTAAAACGGCAGTTCATCATATATCTCCTGTGTTAACAAAATTGTTCAATGCTTGTATTGGACTTAATTATTATCCGGAGGCCTGGAGAAAGTCAGCAGTAATGATTATAAAAAACCTAATAAAGAAAATTATAAAGATCCGAAAGCCTACCGCCCTATAAGCTTGTCTTCTAATATAGGTAAAATTTTTGAAAGTCTAATTCATATTGAACTTTTAAATCATATTAATAGTAATAATGTTGTGCATCCTGCTCAACGTGGATTTACACAAGAAAAATCACACACACACACACACACACAAAAGCCTTTATTAAGACACACAGGTCTTACAGAGGATTCTCCTTGGGGTTACAAAACGGAGAAACCTATGAAAGTGGGAAATAAAAAATGGAGAAAGATTATATACATTTACACAAGAAAAATCAACAATCTCTGCTTTACAAGAAATAACTAAATTAAGTCTTCTGAAAAGAGAAACAGAAAATACGGCAATAGTAACAGTGGACATCAGCGGAGCTTTCGACAACGCATGGCATCCGGCAATTCTCCAACAATTGGACAAGGCAAATTTTCCAGCGGTACTTATAAAAATAATTAATTCTTACTTTGAAGACCGGAGTGTAGAGTTTAAATATACTAATGTAAAGTGTATAAAAAAGATAAATAAGGGATGTCCCCAGGGTGGTATTATTTCTCCTATTCTTTGGAATATATTACTTAATGATTTCAACTTATCTTTTAACGAAAGTTTTGCTAGAGTAATTGCTTTCGCGGACGATGTGACATTTGTGGTATGGAGCTCAAACATCTATGATCTTCAGTATAATATTACCAAATGTTTAATAAAAATCAAAGCCTGGTGTGAAAAGGTAAAACTTTCACTAAGTCCAAACAAAACAGGTATACTCTATCTACATAACTATGAAAAATTGCCCATTAATTTTGATGGAAAAATAATTCAACCATCAGAAACTGTTAAAATTTTGGGAGTTATTTTTAAAAATCATAGACAAAGAGGAATAAGATTAATTTTGGAACACATGTTGACAATATAATTATGAAAGCTACGAAACTTAAGAATATATTATTCTCATTATGTGCACGTACTTGGGGCATTGATACTCGGCGTAGATTGATCTTATATAAAGCTATGATACGCTCTACAATAAGCTATGCATCAAATATTTGGTTTCCTTTTATCACTGCAGCAAAAAGATCCAAGTTGAATTCTATACAATATCAAATTCTTATTAGATGCATTCATGCTTATAGGACTTCATCTTCTTACATCACACATATACTAGCAAAAACCCCTTTACTGTCCGATTATCTTGAATTATTACAAACAAAGTATAATATGACAAATTCTCTCACAGATCGAACACTCAAAAAACCCCTTCAAAAAGAATTAAACAAACTATATCTGGATCTAAAATTTAAGTTTTATCTTTCCCAATCTAATGAAC